GTTTTTAATGAAGTGCTCAACCACTGCGGATCCTAGCAATGGCCATTTCTCCATTATGGTAGTTTCCAGCTACCTGAATTTGGTTGGAGGAGGTAAACATGCAGTAACAGCATGCCTGAGGACCATCCCAAAGATTTTTGACAGGATTAAGTTAAGGGCAATAAGACAACCATTGCATACCTCCCCCGTCCCAAAAAAATCCCCTCAGTCTCCATTTACTTGCGGCTCAATAAGGATGGGCATTATCATCCAAAAAGAGGAAATCAGGACCAACTGCTGCAGTATAATATAAGACTTCATCCCAATACCATGCAGCTGTGACAAATTGTTTTTAAAAATTGTCAGTTGGGTGTGATGTCCCAATATCCCATTGAAATTTTGCTCTTATCATGAGGCTTCCACCTTTGAATGTATGATGTTCTAGGACTAATTCTATGTTCTTCTATTCTCTCCAGACCCTTAAAGGCTTATCTGATTCCAGGACAAATCTGAACTGGTCCGTGAACAGAGACATTGCACCAATCTGAAGTCCAATTTATCTAGATGCTAACAACAGCACATTGACCTGTTAGGGATGAATGACACATAATGTGCGTTCAGGCTAGATTTCCCTTAGGGCCGAATGCCACATCCTGTGCTTCAGAAAATCTTCATCTACAAAACAATCAACACACAGATGCAAAAGGCTTTTGGAATGATATGCTTACTACCAGATGCCATTACTAATCCACGTTTCTTTCAAAAGAACTCCCGCACATTAGTACTCCTCTGTCCTAAATCAGATTGTGGTCAGTCAACTATCTATAAATCATTTGATTTTTGAGAGTGTAAGCAGAAACACGTGCTAAGAGAAACTTATGTTAAAAAGCTCTTATTTAGAAGTGGTTGCTTATATGTAAATATGTGATAAAACAATTTCAGTCATAACAAGAAATTTTAATTTAAATATATCAAAATAAAATAATTTCTCCTCTTGCTTGAGATGAGATTTTATGAGATTAATTTCATTTGTACAGTCATGACTAAAAGACCATTTTGTCTTTCTGAGGAGGAAATTTATGAATGATCCATCTGTGGATTTTTTATATGGTAGTCATAATGTCAAAACATTAAATTAAAGTTCTTCTGATAGTTCTGAATTTTCAGATTTCGAATTAGAAGAGGATAATACAAATATGTTGGTAATAATAAACTAGTAATGATTTTTTTTAAAACCAGAGTGTGTACTGTCTTTTTAAAATATGGGAGATGTCGATCTTAATGATTCAATTATCCATCACTGTCTACCCTTTCAAAAGAACTATAAATGGTTAAAGAAGCTATTTATTGACTTTTTTGAATGGCTATTAATAATAGCTATATTCTTTTTAAAAAGCACCATTCCCAAACTATTTCACTTTAATAATTTTAATCCATGAAATCATGGATAAGAATCTAGAAGTAAAATGTACTGAAATAATTATAGAATCTCCAGATATAAATCCATTGATTTTTGTCATTATTTTCTGAAATTTTGCACTGAGAAATATGGTAAAAACATAGATGTGTAGTTTGCTTGAAGTAAGCTAAGACGGGACACTGCTGATGAATGTAAATCGTGAACTGTTGATCTGTGCTTTGATATTTTTCATACAGCTGTGAAATATTTATTGTTGCAATATTCTTGAAATATTTTATAACTTTAAATGTAAATATTTATTTTATCCTATGTCTTTATATTTTGCATCAATTATCTAGTGTTAATTTAGGTACTTTCTAATTGAGTAGTAAAGTACACTATATTTTTATTTTTTATTATTAAATATTAAGTATTTAAACTAAAAAATTTTATTAGGATTGAATATTTTTAATCGTGTATTTATACATAATTTCATTTCTACGTAATTTATGCATTCTTATGAAATACATACTTTTGTGAAATTGAATGTAAATTAGGCTTAGTGGGAGAAAATGCTCTGGCCTATAGGAACATTTAGTGCTTGCCAGGTCCGGTTATTTGGCCGGGGCTGTGGAGTTAAGCAGATTTGGGGATAAACCGAAGCTGGAGTTGCTAAAAACACGTCGACTCCGACTTCCGTTTTTGTTCGGCAGCTTTCAATTTTAAATTAAATTAAAGTAGATTAAAATATTAATGACAAACACAGTTAGAAGATGTAGATACCCTAATGTTACGTTAACAGGAAGACTATGGAATGATCTTTCAGAATTGGAAATTTTTTTTTTTCGCTGTATATAGCCACAATCTGAAAAATTAACAGGAGGCTTATTTCTGCAAAAATGGAAAAATGTGATATTTGTTCTTTTTAAAATGGGATGGCATATTGCAAACTGGAGTATTCAAATCAAGACAGACTGCAGACATTGCAACTGAGTCTCTATCATTCTCTTCCATTGAAGAATTAGATTTTGAGAAATATTTCTATAATATTGAAAGCAAAGTGAATGAAAATAAAGGGCCAAGAGACCTTTAGATAAAAATACAAACAAGATTTCTACAGAGCTCTTTTAGAAATAGAGAAATATGATCGCTCTTGCAAGACACTTCTTCTAGAACTTAAACAAATCTATCCTGAAAAGTTAAAAGAAGTGTGCCTAACAGTAACAACTCTTCCTCCAACTGAAATTAGTTTGGAAAACTCAGCTCTGAAGTTTATCAAATTGTACCTACGGTCCTTTATCAAAGTTGATCTTGTCGAAGCTATACTGTTTCTTAGAAATTACTAATGCTAGTTTCTCCATTTTATGATAAATGCTAATTAATATAAATAATCTGCTATGCCATTAATTTTTTTCCAGTAGCATTTATTACTTCTTTTATATTAAAAAAAGCTGTAATATATGTGTATATGTTTACATATATATGAGGGAGTCTGAGTTTTTAAAGTTCCACGAGTCGGTAATTTTCCCTACCAACTCCACAGCCCTGCTTGTGGGAGCACTTCTTTCCATGGGTATCTGCGCCAAAGAGATTAATCTTTTCCTTTGGATTAGGCTGTTAGTGGTATACAAACACTTAGTACTCCATCCTTCGAAATGCAGTACTGGTAGATATTGTCTTACCAAGTGACACTGCAACCATGCATGTAACGGTTTATGAAGTTTGCTTGTTAATTCTGTTTGGCTACTATAGCAACATACCAATGTTCAGGAGTAATAATTCTTGGTCGACCTGGCACAGGTCTCAGACCTACTCCTTGACTTGCAAGTGTAGCTTAGTATAAGAAACATATCTTCGATAAGATCTTCTTTGATAAAGGATCGTAGATCCGATTTGATTTTCACCCAATCAAATTTATAATAATTTTATTTTCATTGTTTTTAAGAACATTTTGATTCCACGTTCAGGAAATTACTGGACAATCAATGTCAAAGAAAAGAGCAACATCTTTGATTGACTGTTGTGCTTTAATGCGTGTGATGGTAAGCCAGTACTCAGTATCTGCCATTTGTCTTCTTTCTTGAAAAAGAAAGAAATCTGTCATGGGAACATGAATATCATCAATATTTGACCTAAGAAGGTTATAAGCACTTTGTATCAGCATTTGAATGATCTTCAACCACAGCCTAATTAGTGTATGTTCAGACAGATAAGCATGACTGGTTGTAACATATGTAATTTGCATACCATGCCTTCACAGAGATTTTCAGCCAATAAAATTTATGTTAATTTTATTTTCATTGTGTTTAAGAACATTTTGATTTAAAAAAATTTTCTCCCCCTCATCTTACTCTAGTTTTCTTCAGTAATGAGAAAAAAATTTTACGTTTACACCACATGACTTCCTTGTACGGAATATTAAATTATATGCAATTTTTTGTAATATAATAATTTCTAAATTAATAATTTCTAAAGTTAATTTAAACTTACTTTGTTGAATTTCATTAGGGATCTATTTCTTGTTGAATTAATTCATTTCCCGCTTCGCAATAAGCCAAAAATACATAAAAACATAAAAATACCTTTATTTAAAATTGAAAAATATGAAACACCAAATACTGTTAAAACAATTAAAAAGCAAGTTTCTATGCAAAAACAAGCAATATAGCCAGCAGGCAAGAAGGCAGAATTTTCGGTGCACGAAACTGAAAGTTTACTTTTGATCCCATTTGACAAAAAGACACTGAAGTCGCAGAAACTGACTTAATTCACTATTCTGCTAAGCTTCAAATGTAAGTAAATATGACTGCTATGGTAAAAAAAATTAGGCTTAGCACACTTAAATATCTTTTTAATTGTTAATAATTCTACAACTATTGCTTGCAGATTAACTAAAGGCATAAAACTTAATTGGAAGATAATAACAATATAATTCAATCATTTTTTAAAGCAAGAAGTGCACAATTTACCAACATATAAGAATAAAAAAAAGCTGAGTTCATGGAGCAGTGTAACAGAGTGCTATATATATTTACTTTCTTTTAAAAAAGTATGAAATTAGCCTGAAACTGTAGCTGAACATGTAATTCTTTATTGAAAAGTTTAATTTCATGTATTTTGTATTAAAACCATAGCTTAATATTTGATTCTTATTCTAAATTTTAATTTAATATATTTTAATATTTAAATCATTTTACAATTATTTTAGTCACTTAAATTATGCATTTGATTTTAAATTGTATTTGTCATATTTGAATCCTTTTGAAGTTACATTATCAAGTAGTTTGAAATTTCAAAGTTGGTAGTTATGATATTATTTGACATGATTGATGAAAGTATGTAAATCAAATTATCTTTTATTTGCTCATTTTCTTCGCAGTCAGCATTCGAAAGGTTTTTAATTTTTTCAAATAGTGGTAGATTTCACATATTGCTGCTTGTTATCAAAAATATAAATGTCATTTATAAAAAGAGTCTTGTTTTTCATAGAGAAGGATATTAAGGTGCCTTATCTCTGTTATCTATTTTGCTTATGTATGCATTTATTTTTATTCTTATTTGATTATATTCATTTTCTTATTTGATTTTGCTGTTGTTATGAACATCACTTTTGCTGTTGCAGCCATTTTTATCTACTGAAATCAAACTTGGCAAGAATTTGAGTTGTTTAAAGAGTGTACCCAAAAATGCTGTAAATAAGCAGCCCTGTAAGAAGACACAACTTTTGAAAAGTCCGTTTGTACCTATGTTAGATTTGGAAGATGATGAGAAAGGGGATGTTATCTTTAAGTAAGTTATGTTCTTTAAAATGAAAACTTCAAGCTAATTTTTACATCCTATAATAAATTTTAGTCATTTATGAATTTTTCAAAATTTGGATAAGGATGACATTTACATAGGTGGCTTACATACAAATTAGTAATACTAACTTGAGAATTCTCTGTGTGCAAGCAGTTGATTCTGTAATTAAATGTCATTAAATTTTATAAAATGCACTGAGAAATGTTGCTTAAAAGACACATGAGAGAAGTTCTAGGATTTTTATGGTATGAGAAAGTAATTGTATTATTTACATTACAGCTCAGTTAAAAAAAAAGGTAATATTATTGCAGTATCAGAAATAAGGAGTGTATGGAAAAAATATTTGCATTTTATTTGCAATGCTTCTAATTTATTTACAGTGTTGAAGAACTACAGACTGGTTGTATCATATCCATTGGAGGAACAGCAATATAATATTCTAGATCCAACCTAAAGCAAACAGTTTGGCCAAAAGAGTCACATTTGGTATTAAAAAATGCAGTCTGCTCTTGATTATCTGGGCTAATGCCAGGGTAGCAGATTACAGATAATTGAGAAACACAAATAATGCAAACTATGAATTTTCATGCATATTCCGTGTGAACGTTTAAATATTTGTCGAATTTCATTATCTATTTTTCAATGTGCCATTTTATCATTTTATTCATATCCCTTTTAGTCTCCAAAGTCAAATACAATTTCAGCAGAAGTCATTGATGTGTCAGAACTAATGTAATTGTCAGCATCTTCTTCACTTGAATTTTTAGTATCACTCTCTACCTCTTCTGTTCTTGTGGCATTAGAAACAGTATTCACATCACTCAAGCATTGAAAGTCTTGTTCTATTAAATTGTCATGGGATCATTCCTCGATGTTTCCCTAGTTAACATTTTCGATTCGAGTTTTTTGGCATAAAATTTTAATTATTGCCTTGACTTCTTTGCAATTAGGCAGTCTTAACTTTCTTTATTAGGAAGAATCTTTCTCCATGCTGAAATGTGCGCATTTGTTTTACACACTTTCGCTCATAGTGTTGAATGTGTTTGCGTGGCCGCCATGCATGGATTATCCCCAAACCGCTTTACTGATGATGAACATATTTTTTTATTCTTGGTTTTATTTTTACAGGGTTCGTAGCGATCCTTACAAGTGCTTATGTCCTTATATTTGAAAATAAA